AATTATGCCCTTATTCTTGGAATGCCTGGAACTGGCAAAACATCCACTATGGTGCATGCTGTGAAGGCGTTGTTGATGAGAGGTGCATCCATTTTGCTTACGTCCTACACAAATTCAGCTGTTGATAATTTACTTATCAAATTGAGAGCTCAGGTCATCATTCATCCTTATCAATTCATTAGACAGATGTTTGCTAATTGGAGTTTTAGAGAGAAGTTAGCAAAACTTCTACAAATTCAATTGTCTTGATAGATTCTTGATTGCCTGTAATCCATACATTAGGATTAGATAAAGAGATTCTTCCTATAGGAATGTAAAGCTAAAGACACTGCACTGCTGATTTATATACAGGGCGTAGATTTTATTCGCATTGGAAGAGATGAAGCTGTGCACACGGAAGTTCAGGGGAATTGTATATCAGGTTGAATTCCTAGCTTATCATCAATAGCTGTTTCATTAATGGTCTGGCTCCAAACTTATTGTTTACAACTCTGCGGTAACAGCTATGAAGATGGATAGCACTCAAGAGATTAAGCTAAAGCTGGACCAAATCAAAGTTGTTGCAGTCACTTGTTTGGGGATAAATAACCCTTTGCTCACTAACAAGAGATTTGATGTATGCATAATGGATGAAGCAGGACAGATTACCCTGCCGGTAATTGTTATAATATACTTATATTTATAAATGCTTGACGACATAACGGACTGTTTGTTTTTATGCTAAAGTAGTGAAAATTGTTTTTGTTATGGTCGAGTTGTTCTACATCAATAAATGGAAATCTGTTGTCTTTGGCACTTCTCAGTTGTATGATGATGAAACTTGATGTGTTCTATTTGATCTTCTAGTAGATGTAGCGGATGAACCAAACAGAACAGTGAAAGAGGATCCATGTATTGTCCTCCATATTTATTAAGAATAGTGCTTAGTTTTTTGTCTATTCATAAGAGAATAAGACTTTCTGGCAATCCCCTTCTCATTTGGGCAATGTAACCACTGTAATGAAGTGCTTTCTTTGCTTGCTGAGGACTAGAACATATGCTTCGAGAATGGCAATGCTGAAGCAGTAACTTTGGCTGAACTATGAGAAATTATTGTACAAAGACTTAGCCCCTGTTTGTAATCCTTTACTTTACATTCTTTTCCATTATTTTTTTTTTACAAAACTCATTTTTAATTACACAATTCTTCATTAAGTAATATTACACGCAAATAAAAAACTTTTCCTTCTTTGAGAATGGATAAGAGGCTCTTGGGATTGATGTGAGGGGGTAGGGATGGCTATATTTCTGGGAGCGAACTTCCCGCAAGAGATCCGGACCCATTTTTTTCTGATCCTTCGAGAAAAAATTCATTCTCTTCATAAAAAATAGGAGGTAGAACTTGGGATTTGTGATTCCAGGTAAGATCGGTTCAGGATCATGGGATCCTTTTCTATCAGATAGGAAGGGCTGTAGCACAAAATGCATTCTCCATCAATCACTATTTCATAATACATTTCTTCAAATTAGTGGGGCTCAAACGGGCCTTAATGGAATGATTATAGTTTTTACAGCAGCTTGACCATGGGAAGGATCCGTACTGGATTTAATGCTTAAAAGAACAGAAAAACTATTGGTAATTTCCTATGAGTCTAGAAAGGGATATCCAACCACTCTTTTATTCTCTCCTCCGAGCCTTCTCTATTTTGCTTTTCCCAATGTTTTCTTGTCACAGAAACAAATTGACATTTTTTATGTACCATTAAAGAAGCCAAAAGTTCTTGTTTTATAGGTTAGTATGGAAATGCAGACCATTTTAATGAACTTGTCCAATGATTTTGGAAAAGTCTGTGGTTGAACGTTAAAAACTTGTTTTATCATTTTTATGGGTTTTATTCTAATAGTTTCTCATACTGTATTGCAACCATGAATCACTGGTGCAATGATTTATCATACATTTCTTAGACACAAATTGTTCTAGATTTTTTGCTCTATATTTTGTTGCAGTTCCCATGAACATGGTAAATGATAAATTTAGATTTGCTCAAGAGAGAAAATAAAATTAATACTGCCCAAGCAGGTGTCTTTGGGACCGTTGATGCTTGCATCAAAATTTGTTCTTGTGGGAGATCATTATCAATTGCCGCCACTTGTTCAGGTATTTTCTCCGTTTACAATAATTCATTTACTTTTCTGCAGAACTTTATAATTACTGGGATCTTGTAATTTTACACCTGATATTAGAGTCCAGTGGCAAAAGAGAGTGGAATGGCCGTGAGCCTCTTTTGTAGATTATCAGAAGCACATCCCCAGGCAATTGCCGCTTTACATAGCCAGGTGATGAAAACTGTTCGAATGTACTATTGTCTTGCTTTCTTTTTCTCGTGAATTGAAAAACTCAATGCAACTATTCTATAATTTGCAGTACCGGATGTGTGCAGCCATAATGGAACTCTCAAATGCATTGATATATGGAAACAGACTGCGTTGTGGTTCTTCAGATATAGAGAATGCCAAACTCAAGTACACATGTAAAGCATCTGCCCCTTCGTGGCTGGAGGTATTCTACAATATGTTCCAAATTGTCTTATTACAACTATATTAATAATCTAGACCTGCAGTGCCATTGTCCTTTACTTACCAAAAATTATTGTATGATTTGCTGAACTGCTGTAAGTACAAAGGGGTTTAGGTGCTTATAGTATGACAAAACATTTATGCATAATAAATCTTAGAGTCCAAGAGTACAAGTAACCGTATCAATTGAGGCTATTTTATATTTTGACCATGAGATGGTAATTACTTTTTCGGACTTGCACAAGTTTGTTTTCGGTATGAGCATGATATACTTGAAATTCAATCAACACACCTTTGTTAATTTTCAGCAGGTTTTGAATCCAAAGCGCCCAGTGATATTTATTAACACAGGTATGTTTTGCTTTTCACTTTCTTTTCCTTTATATTTAATGAATTACGTGCTCATACTGGTTGAGCAGTTTATTAACTTCAGTTCCAACTCAGATTTGTTGCCCACATACGAGACAACTGATCACAAGGCTGTAAATAACCCTATTGAAGCTTATATTATTGCAGAGGTATAAATGTATAATTCATTCTGACAAAAAACAGATGATTAATTGCTAAACCTTTTTCTCTGCGATTCTTATATTACTATAGGCATAGGATTTTTTCACTCTTCTGATATTTATTTTTCATTGAAAAGGTTACAAAAGCATTATTGCTTAGAGGTATACGAGGGGAAGATATAGGCATCATCACACCATACAACTCTCAGTCAAAGCTCATTCAGGAAGCGGTTTCTGCACCTGTGGAGATCCATACCATTGACAAATATCAGGTTTTACTTTTAGACCTCGTATTAAGGAAATTCCTTTATAAGTAGTTTGTTTTCTTGATGACCATAAAATGGAGTAAGTTGGAGGAAAAGGCCTGAGATAAGACGTTTCTTAGAACAGATTTATAGTTGGCAGCTTCATATACTTCCCCTCTTTTATTATAAATAAATAGAAGATATCACTTCAGACATGCAGCAGTCAATTTGTATTTCTAGTCTTAATAAATATTAACATGACAGCAGAGTGCAATATTAAAATTGCTCCCTTCTCCAATATCTAATGTTCAGTACGACTTTGAAAAAATAGGATACTGCTTTCTTTTCATCTTTCCTAAAGTAATAATACAGGCCTATGAGGAGGAACAATGTGGCTGTAAATGTCGAGAATTTTTTCAGACAACAGGTTCCAGAGTCGGATAAAATACCCTGACATAGCAAGGAATTTCTTCGATTTGGGCAAATTATTCTTTCAGATAAAAGAAATGTTAATGCTTTTTAAACAGTGAGTTTTCCGTGTTGAACTTTACATTTTGTATAGGAAATATTAGGATTAATAAATGGAACATAATTATTGAAACAGCATTCATGATCATGGGAGCCACATTACAGCTTGTTCTTATCAATCTCTTTGCCGCAGGGGAGGGACAAAGATTGCATATTGGTCTCCTTTGTGAGGTCCAGTCAAAAACCCGGGATCGGTACTTCGTCATTGCTTGGAGACTGGCATCGTATTAATGTTGCTCTTACACGAGCAAAGGTCTGTATTAACATATTCTCGTCTACCATGCCCGTTATTGTAGCTAGTCTTAGAGAAACTTATTTTATGTTGTGGTTTGTGTAACATTGACAAGTTCACTTTGTTCGGGATTAACTCCTAATTTCTGAAAACCATTTAAAAGTTTCTCACCCCAGAGATGAGAGTTACGTCCACTTGGTGGTTCACCTCATTGAGAATTATATTTCACAATGTTGAATAATCCTTTTATATATGCATGTATATTAAGGGGATTTAATACACACTTGGAAGTTTGAAGCTATTGATCCATGTGAGCTCTTTGACTGAATTTTCTTGAGGAACTAATTACATCAATTCTGGTCTTGGTTTTGTTTGAACAGAAGAAGTTGATAATGGTGGGATCCTGTAGAAGTCTTTCAAAAGTGCCATTGCTGAAACTTCTGATTGAGAAGGTAGAAGAGCAGTCAGGTATGCTTATTGTCTCCGATAAGGACTTTAACATCAATGCTGCTGAGCTGAAGAGATGCTCCAATATTAAATGTCTGTAATTTCTCCGCAATTTGTAAAAAATTGAAATATAAATAGAAGTTATTTTTCTCTCTAAGATTATTTTGTCTCTATGCTTGTGCCATTGTTCATGAGTAAATTAAAACATCGGCTCATACAAGCTAGAGTTTCTACAATCGAAGCTTTTGTGGCATATTCAACGTGTTTCTTGAAACAAAATATATTTTTACACGGTTCAGAGTTTAACCTTTATATTGAATACCCCATCAGACAAAAACGTTGTGCAAAACCTTGACTTCGGCACTAAACCAAACTAGCATATATGACTCCGGCCATCCATATGATTGACTCATGACTGTAAACTCAAACCAAAAATATATGCTTCGTAAAACCATATATGCATATAAAGAATTCAAGATGGCATACGTAAACAATAGCCTTTAGAAGATTGTTTATATAAAGATAACAAGTCACTGAAAGATTTGATATAAATAAAATTCCACTCTGTAACATGCATCTATGAAGATCTTGTATAGCACATTTGTACAAGGGTAAAAAATTATTGAAAGAAAAGAGTGACTTATTTCAGACTCAAATGGCTGCTTTCAGGTGAGCAAAATGACAGTCAATGCAGGGACGGCAGCATTGAAAAATTCATCAATCAATGCCCAAGCTCGAATAGGGTTCAAATCCACCCTGAAATGGGAAAGTCAAATGAGTGGCAAGAAAATTAAGTCAAATATATAGTCCAACAATTCAATCTAAGCTCGATGACATCTTTATATTTTACGAGGAAAGTGAGGATTAATATGGCAGCAGAAAACCTTAATCACAATTCCGTTTCGTCTCTTCTTCACATGCATTTTATTTATCCAATTTGTTGGGGAAATAGATCTGTTATTCGAGACTTCCACAGAGGACATCCCTTACAATTTATATCACAAGCATCTTCTTGTCAAAAAATGGCAAGAATAAAACAGAGAAAAATGCAAATACCATTACTGTCTATTCTCTTCTTTAATTCATTTATTTTGCATTAAATTCTCATATTTCTACAGCCAAGAGTCATATAGAAGTGCCAGTTAGATTTAAGTGAAAGCTACTTACAGCACAATCGTCATGCACCCGCCATATGGTCTCACCCAGGAGGTTTGCCACAGATAAGATCGTAAGCTGGGAAAAATAGTTCTTTTCTGCTACTGGAATAGTGTTTGTTATGATAACCTCTTGGAATAGGCCACTTGATAACCGCTCAATTGCAGGAGGACTGCAAAAAGTTTAACACGTGTATTGAGTAAACAATATACTAAAAAGTATTATACTTGATTCAGTATGAGCAAAGTGGAGATTGGCACAATTTGTTAAGTATAGATTATGGATATGGAAATGTTGCTCCAAAAGAATAAAAAGCCACGACACCATTGGCCGAAGTATAAAATTTATGATCTTGCCCTGAACCAGGCCAATGAAATGATCGAGTAGCTCAATGATCTAACGCTTAATTTTCATTAAATGTAGGGATCAGGTGACTCTACAATCTGGGAAGGTAAAATGTAACTGAGAAGTAAATTTTTCATCATTACTAAAAAGGCACCGTACTTTCAGTCAGGCAAATATTCCAATGAGAAGATATTTTAGCTTCCACTAATATAACTAAAAAAACATAACTGATGAAGCATTGCGAACAATAATGGATTTTAGTACCTGAAAACAGCATGAGTGCTGCAAGCATAAACTTCCCTAGCTCCTTCTTGATGCAACAAAGCTGCTCCTTTTGCAATGGTTCCTGTAACCATCTGCTGGTAAGTACGATACCCAAATACGATAGACTGATTAGGACAAAAGTGCTAGCAGGGGCTGTACATAACAACCCTCCAAATGGAGACAAAAAATTGGAAGTTGAGCAATTGATTTACATGTCTTCTGATGAAGAAACCTGAAAATAATTTACAGCTCTAAGGGTTGATGTTTTACTGATTAGGGGGACAATGGCGAACCAGTCTCGCCAAAATTGACAGTGCTGTATGTAGATGTATTCTTATTTTTCCCCTGGCGGAGAAAAAAGATTGAATTGGAAATATAGTTAAAAAGGAATTTATTTGCGTACAGCTGTTTATATGATTACAAAAAGTTTATCCTTTTCAGTTTTTGATCTTGATTTCAATATAGAATTTGCAGTGTAGCATCAATATTTGTATGCCCAGGCTGCAGCTGTTTGATTAACTATTATTCAAGATTGTGAAAGAATAAGTGGATCATAAAGAAAAAAATTTACCAGCAGTATCAATCATGTCATCCACCATAACTGCTACTTTTCCCCTCACATCACCAATCAAATTCATCACCTGCAGAATCCAAATAGTATCTTAACCCATTGGTGGTTATAGGCACAAAATACATCATACCAGATATCAGGTACATTAACACCTAGAAACAACCATAAATGCTTTCAATCAATGCTGAGATATTATGTGATTGAAAGACCTGAGTCATCAAATAACTGAGAGTTACATTCAGTTTCGAGGACTTCACCTCAGCAACATTATGCGCATGACGCCTTTTATCAACAATTGCAAGAGGTGCATCAGACAACTTTTTGGCAAAAGCTCTCGCTCTAGCAACCCCACCAACATCCGGTGAGACCACAACTAGATCATCAGAACATATGGCCTTGCTGGCAAGGTAATCAAGTATGACAGGCTACTTGCAAATATTCCAAAGAAAAATAGTAATAATAAACAAATAATTTCAAAATAGGCGAACAATGGAAAACCAGTGCAACTTTTTGAAGTAAGATTGCAAGTAGAAATGCAATATAAAGACAATTAAGTCAGCCCCATTCGCCAATCTTCAATTCATCAGCTTCCAAATTTTCTTGTGTCAATATTACACCAAAACTCACAGAAATTATGCCAGTGTTAGCTTCTGTATATGTAATGGGAACAAACATCTCAAGGTATTTTACCTGACCATGTACATGATCCACTGGAATGTCAAAATATCCCATGGACTGACCAGAATGAAGGTCACAGGCAAGAACCCTGTCTGCACCAGCTTCGGTAATCAGATTAGCCACAAGTTTGGCTGCTATTGACTCGCGCCCTTGTGTCTATCGTGGAAGCAAATGTTCATAAAGAAAAGCAAATAGGAAATTGAAGTACTAAAACAAAGAAAACTAACACTCAACAGCCAAATTCATTCAGGTGGAGGCCAATTGTCAATGAAATAAAGGTGAAATTATACCTAATAAAACTTGAGATTATTTTTATCATTTGGCATCTAATTGTTTTTAGTTTAAGAATTTTTTTCTTTGGAAATTTTAAAGTGAAAACACTCTGGAAGAAAAAGTAAAAGTGAAGACCTGAAGCATGTGGATGTTTACCAATATTTGCATAGTTTCGTTGTATATCCATTAAGAATTCATCAATTTTGATAAAAAGACTCAATGCGAGTCAACAAAATCAGCGTTTTCAAGTAGAAACCTATAAGCTGCGTCATGATGTCTCATTTAGCAGGGGAAAACAGAAGGATCAGGGCAAGCGGATTGTAGTGTTACCTATTTAAAATGGATCATTCTGTAATTTTGAGATTACCAGAAAAGGTTATTATTTTAAATCAAAATTTTGATGTGAGAACTGGGTTTACTTAAATCAACTCAAAGCTGAGATAACATACCTTTCGATCAGCTCTAGCATATCCAAAATAAGGAATAACAGCAGTAATATTTTTGGCTGATGCTCTTCGACAAGCATCAATCATTATCAAGAGCTCCATAAGATTTTCATTTGCCGGAGGACAGGTGGGCTGCACAAGATATACATCACACCCTCTAACACTCTCTTGTAGTTGAACATAAATCTCTCCATCAGCAAATCGTTTTATCTTAATTTTTCCAAGCTCCAGACCCATATAACACGCAATTTCCTGTAAAAGACACATTTCCGTAAAATAAAATAAAAGAGAGAGAGAGAGAGGAAAAGAAAAAGTGCGATATAGTACCACAATACCTTTACACATCAAATAATAAAATTACAATAATATATAAAAATATGATTCCCTTCAACAGAATTACAAATATCAGCTAAACATTGGGCACAACAAACGACTTATCAAAAACCGCAGATTAATTTGGGCAATATTATGATCAGGATCATATCAAAAGCAAATAGATCCTAAGAATGTGTTTTTATTATAATATCATGATCATGATCATGATCATGATCATTTGTAAATTCAATTGTGAACATACGACAACAACCAAATTTTTTTATGTACTTTGCTGTATTAATAAATAATAACCAAAATCATAACATTACCCAAAGACTTAGCCTATATTTTGAAACTGATTTACCGCTAAGTCATGTAATCCAAACCAAACAAGGCCTCGATGCTTAGAAAAAGTCCAAATATATTTCATTTTCATGAATAACAAATATTTTTCACGGAAATCGAATTTGTTGAGGTTTTTTTAATACATTACCAAAGATAAAACTAATTTCTAGATCTATTATGACTCCATGGGTTGAACCATTTCTCAATATTATCAAGTATTCATATTTATCACTTCTTTATTTGGACACCCTTATTAATTCAAATCAACCAGAATTATTTTAATCCACAGGCATGCGGAAAATATGTTAAACGAATTTAGCAGCAGAAACCTGTGACAAAGAAGGGTTAGCAGTGCCCGAGAAAATTCGAAGCCGGGTGTCATTTTTCTGAACTGGGATTCTTTCATATAATTGACGAGTGGTCAAGAAGCTTGGAATCGACGCTACTTGTCCATAATCACTGCTAATGCTATTGGGCAAGCTGCCTGGTTTCCCATTGTCCTTGTACTTCAATGGCTCCGCTACACTGTTACACCTCTACAGAGCGAAAAAAAAAAAAAAAAAGGATCAAAACGAGTACATACGAATGTGTGTGTGTGTGAAATCAAGAGAGTAAGGTCTTACGAATAATGAGGACGCATCATGAGTGGAAGCGGGGTTTCTGTGGGGAATTACAAGACTACCAAAGAAGGCCAAAGAGGCCATATTTACTATACTTGTGGGAATTAGTTCAGCTTCCTAAGATTTGGGTTTTCTTTAGTCGTACTCCTACATAATTCAGGGGTTAGGGTTTTAGCAACTTCGTAAGTATCTCAGCGCCACGTTTGGCAGGAAACCACTAAACGGACTCTTTTTTCCATGAATCATTTTTAATTACATATTCACACAATACAATATTTTGCACGTAAATTTAATTTTTTTTATTTTTAATAGCACCTTTCAAAAATCACCATCAAAAACTCTATTTTCCTCAAATAATAATTGTCAAATCGAGGCTAAATGTCTTTGCATAATTTTGAAGTACCTTTCTTCTTCTTCTTCTTCGTCTTTTTTTTTTTTTTTTAAGTTAATAGTTCCTTTACTCTTTTTTGGTACATTGGAAAAATAAAAATACTCAATAACTCCTTATAAAACCATCGTCCCATTGTATGCAAAAAAGCAAAATATTTAAGGAATTCCTGGATGTTGATCGTGCTTTCTTCTTGCATCTCTCTTGTATTAGCAAGATGGTCCGCACAACCATTTTCTTGTCATGATGTATGCATTATTTCGATATTGGGTATGTATAGCAGAAAATGATAATTGTTAAGCAAGGCTCGATTTAGAATTTTCACTTATGTTCCTTTTTCTTAGTAGAAAATTAGCTTCCACAAATTATAGCCTCAAAATGTCGCCCTAATCTCATTTGTAAAGCTCTATGAATATCCAATATCGCTCATAAGTCTTGCTATTTATTTTCCTTAATTAAGATGGATAAATGACTTTCCCTAAGAATTCGAAATTCTATCTTTCTAAATTATCCAATGATGCTAGGAAATAGAGCGCTCCATTTATTATTATTAACTTCATTGCCTTCTTATTTTTAGAAATTCCATTGCAACAAATCTTTATGAGTTAATAACCCAGATGATCACTAAATTTTGTAAAAAGTTTTCACGATATCATTATAAATGGCTCTTTTTGGTTCAATGGAGAAGATGAATGGCTCATTTTAAATTGACTCATTATAAATTGACTACCCATTTAATATGTCTTTCTAAATTTTTTCAGTGACACAAGATGACAGCAACAGTAGTTGTGGAATTGTGAAATATAATGTGTTCACGATATTTTTTCTTTATTTAACTTAATCATTTAAAGTATTTTCAGATTCATGTTGCTGCTACTGTTACTTATGGACTAAGTTGATGGCGGGAAAAAGGGGTGAAGTGGGTGAGGACAATTTTACCCTTGTTTATGGAAAGAAAAATGTATTTTTGTATTTAATTAACGGAAAAACTGATGGAATATGGACGGAAGGACGTCCAGCGCAAAGAAAGGTTGAAATGAGGGCAAAAATACCAAAAAATGAAAAGTAGGGACGTTTTCCACAATAGAATTGAAAGATAGGGACGTTTTGTGCTAATTACCCGAATGTTTAACGGAAAAATTGACGGAATATGGACCGAAGGACGTCCAGCGCAAAGAAAGGTTGAAATGAGGGCAAAAATGCCAAAAAATGAAAGGTAGGGACGTTTTTCACAATAGACTTGAAAGGTAGAGACGTTTTGTGCCAATTACCCAAAATAAATATTCCATTGGAAGCTTTCAATACTTGCTCAAAAGTTGTGCATCCACCAAATAATGATGAATCTTTTTTGGGAAGTTTCAATATTTGTCTCAGAAAGCTCTGCATCCCCCGTTTGGTTACTTTGGTATTAACTAAAATCTAGATTTTAATTTAAGTCAAAATTAATAATTAATTTTAAATAACATATTTCATTGGGTTTCCAATTTTTCAACAAGACGATAATATATTTAATCAATTTTAGTCAAAATTTACTAAAATTTTAATTTTTTAATCCTCACTAAACATGAACTAAGTAGGCTGGACAAAATTTTCAAATCGAATCAGACCCGAATTTAACTGAATTTTTTAATTAATTTATTTATAAGCTAAATTATTTTATTTTTTTCTAGATAAAATTTACTAACTAATTAATTTAGCTCAAATCCAAAAATATGATTTCTCTATTTCTAATTTTCAGTCCAATCTCAATTTAATCAAATTGACTTAAGTTTTTCTCATATTAGTTATTTTATCTAGTGTCGTTTTTATCGTTCTGTAGAAAACAAATTGAAATTTGACGCCTTTCTTAATTATTGTGAGCTCACCATCTTCCTCTTCTTGCGATTTAACAATCAAATATATAAAAAAACTTAACAAAGAGGGACACAAAATACACATAAGATTGAATTACGTTATTTTGTAAAAGTTAAAATTGAACATGTCATTAGTTGAATTAATGTATTTTTGTAAATATTAAAAAAATTAAGTATAGTACGAAATCCAGGAATCGAATGGAGCCGAACCGAATCGAATTGAATCGAATGGAATCGAATTCGAACGGTTCCATAATTAAATTTGGATCGGACGGTTCACTTACTAAGTGTTTGATCCACATTTAAAAAAAATACATTTTTAAACAGTGATTTTACATCATTTCAATAAAATAATATTACACGCAAATACAAAATTTTTCTTTATTTTTTAACTACACATTTTTCATCAATACACTATTCAAAAATGTATTATTATGAAAATAATGTGGCTCGAACAAGGGCTAAATAACTCATAATTCCGAGTCCAATTCGATTCTCGTTAAAATCAAATCGAACTGGACCATGTCCAACCCTATAACGAAGTAAAGGTTGCGTTTTATAGAAAATCGTAATATTAGGAGTATTATCGGTAGTTTCATTTAAAAGTGAATATTTGGCTAAGGGCCCCATGTTCTCCTTTAGAAATTTTTTTCTACCACCTTCTTTTGAGAAAAGACTCGTTTTTAGTTATAATTCCAAGTGAAGATATTATTTAAAATTTATAAGTGAAGATCGAATTGTTATTATTTGCCATGAAATGAAGAAATGGGAAAGATTAATACGAACATCACTAACATTTTGTTCAAGTTCTTCGTAAATAGTTGAGTGGGACGCCAAAAGCAAGCTAGCGAGCTTATGCTTTTGTCAATAATCACGTAATATCTCAATCTATTGTAGCTTTTAAAGCATATGTAGAATACATAAATAAATAAACGGGATTGAATGTTTTGTTTCTTCCGTTACTTCTGTTTTACTACTTCATATTATAATTGATTTTACGTACACTTACAATCGAATAAGAATAAATTAAATCCAAAGCAATAGAGACTAATCTAGTGTTTACAGTTGGATTATTTATTTGTTTTTTTTTTATTTACAAAAATTAACAAGTAATGATCATCTACTACAAGTTTAATTGATTTTAGAGTGAAATCGCAAAGGCAGGTCGCTTAGCCCGTTAATCTTCAGTGCAAGGGCGCCCGATCATCTACTACAAATTTAATTGATTTCATAGTGAAATTGTAAACTTCTATTTTTCTGCGCAAAAGGGCAATTGTAATCTTCTGCTTAGATATATTTAAGTATACAATATCCTCGCCTACAATCAACAAATAAAAAATTCAAATTTTGAGAAAAAGCACAAATTGCAGGGTCGTCACATAGTCCTTGTACATTGACTTGAAAGGAATTAAACATTGTTCAAATCAATACACTTATCTTCGATACTTCCTCATCATTAGAACTATGATTTTTGGTAAATCCGTCAATTTTACCTAATCTGATGAGAATACCTAAATGATTCGGCATTCTCATGCAAAAAGAAAGGATGAATTTAATAATATTTTTGAAGAAAAAATGGTATATTTATATAATAAAATTCAAAATAGACATTATTTACAACTAGTATGAAGTGGCATTTGGTCTCTCACTTGAAGAATTTCCCATGGGATAAATTATTCAATTCTGCTACTGAGCCAGCCTCAATGACCGACTAAAAAACAGATACACGTGCCGTGTTGAGAAAAGAGCAAAAAAAAATAAAAATGACATCATTTGAGTTTGAAATTTCACCAGCAGACCCACACAAAAAACATGTAACCGTCTCTCCACTAGCTATCTGAAGTTTGGGAGAAAGAAAACCCCCAAATCAAATCCTCCGAAACCACCACCATCTTCGATCTTCCATATATGGTCCCCGTCGACACCACCTTCATCTTTGACCGTAGTTGGCTCTGCCCCGTTACTTTGTGAGCTCTGCAACGTGGCCGAAAAATTACCGCCATAAAAAAACAGGCCGATGTGGTCTCCGTCCCGGCTTCTCACAAAAGTAATATCATTTTTCAGCTGGTCTCAGGTAGGACGCTGTCTATTTCATCATCTTGAAATAGGGCTTCCGACAAATTTGTGCGCAAACTTGAATGAGTTCCATATTAGTTTCGCCTTTGCTAACATATTTGTGTGCGGGTCTTGAATGTGTGTTATCAGTCCTGTTTATTGAATTTTCGGCAGTTGTGCTTTGCAATCTCTACACTTCTCTTTACATGTATTTTCGGCAGTTTTTATGTTTATTCTTATGGTTTGGGATTTTTTGAGAATCCGTTTGGGATTATTGTTACTATGGAATTTTTTTACTTTGATTGCACATTTGTTAGTTTGGAAATTTTTGAGAACCCATTTGGTATTTTTGTTGATTAATTGAGTTTGTGAGTGTCTTTCTGGGCACCACCGAGAGCTGTAAGTAAGTCTTGATTGTTATGATTTTTTTTTATTTTTTATTTTTTGATACGAGATTTGTTAATTTGGAACCCATTAAATTTTGCAATGGCACTAGAATTGCAAGCCATGGAGAAAAATGGTGGCTGGAACGTGTTTGATTTACCTCCTAAAAGCCACAGGTGAATTTGGAAGTATATTGAATTGTTAGGTTGCTAACTTTACCTTTGTTGTTGGTCGTTGATTCCCATCCTAAATGCCCAGAACGAACAGAGGAATATGTCACAGTTGTAGGGCGAAAGATCACTTCTTCACCGAGTGCCCAACAAAACGTAGTTGCACACTATGTAAGAATGGATTTGAGAAATGTTTTGTAGTGGAGAAGGAGGGTGAATCCAAAGGGAAATTATTCCTTTGCTGCAGTAACAATTGTGGATTTTGGGACTGGGTTATAAAAGAAAAATCGAGCGGTCCATCTACAGGCAATAGTGCGAAACTTATTAACCCTG